TCTGGACAGGTCGCCAGACTATCACAGGGCTGACACATAGAGACAGACAACCATTCACGCTCACATTCACAATTTAGAGTTATCAATTAACCTAGTCCCCAGTCTGCATGTCTTTGGACTGTGGGAGGAAGCCGGAGTGCCCGGAGAGTACCCACACTGACACGGGGAGAACATGCAAACTCCGATCGAACCGGCAACCCTCTTGCTGTGAGGCGACAGTGCTAACCACCACACCACCGTGCCGCCCGCAGTCAGTATGTAACTAGGGTATATACTGTTAAAAAGTCATGATATTTTAGATATTATTTATTAAATAAAACTACCTTTAGAGTAATACTCTGCGCATCTTGAGTATCAATTAGTCACTCTTTTTAGGCCTGAAAGGTTTCTGTAAAACTCACTCATCCAGCCAGCTGACATTAACAGCAATTATTTTTGTTCCTAATGGTGATGAATATTAGTGGTGGAATTTTAATGGTGGAAGAAAATATAAAAGCATCCAGAGAAACTTTTAAATTCACACATAATCTATGTTGGCTAATTCGCTTTTCCAATTTTTAGGCCTCCATATCATTGTTGAATCACTGCTTCATGTACCTCCAAGGTCAATAGTAAGAAGAAATCCCTCTAATGGAAATGAAATGTTTTGACTCTGTTGTTATTTGAAACACACGTGCACAAACAGGACCTATACACATGCATTAATGTACTGAGAGATGTCAGAGCGATGGCAATGTCTCACAGGATGGTGCCTCGGGCAATTAGAAGTTCGGTGCCTTGCACCAGCCCTCTTTCTCTCAGGGTGTGAGGCTACTAGACCACACTCCGTACTTGGTCAGAGCTGGACTTGATCCAGCAAAAGTCTGTTTCTTTTGTTTTTTATTGATGTCAGGAACAGTAAAATGTTAATATTCATGATCTTCTGGTCTGACAGCAGGTTAGGTCTTGGGGTGTGTCAGATGCACAATAGTTTCAGGCATCAAGAAGGTGATGTCTTACTGGAATGCCACCAGGTGTATTCACTGGCAGGTTGAGTTCTCCTGCTGATATAATGAACCTGAACCTTCACACACTGTTGTAAAGCTCTGTTAAAATGACATGCTGGAAACATGTAACTGGGAGTGAGTAACACATTCTGAAAAAAAAAAGATAATAAAAAAATAAATTAAACTGGAAACCTGTTTCTTCTCTCAATCACGAAGCAGAAATGTTATGATTAGACAGTGTTTTTTTTTTTGTTTTTTTTTTCCACTTTTCAAAGGTCGCTTTTGTTTGATAAATGTAAGATATTACTATGTTCTCTGTTTGTCAGCTCAGGTAGGCCGTATCACCATAAACTTGTACCCTAGTTCAGAGTTACACATGTGGTTATAACAGCTCCTGCACTGAAAGGCGGCCCTGGCCAAGCAGCATTTACTTACATTAAGTGCAGCAAGACACTGAAACTCATCACCCTGGTTGTACCAGTGTGTTCTCTGCAACATAAGCAACATGGCCTTAGGGCAGATTTCTTCTTTACAGTATGTACGATTTCTCAGAGCAGAGACTCTGGAGGCAAGAATATGTAAATACCTGAGTTCCCTTTCAATGAAAATATCACTAAAGGAGAATTTAAAGCCCAGTGAAAATGGGTAGGACAAAGGCCAGTCAGTTCAGTTTATTTATTCTTACCTTTCACCTTACTTCCAAACCCTTTTTTCTGGATGACACTAATCACATGTCAAAGTCTGACCTTGATGTATAATGTGACTTACGTATGCAGTGTGAGTGACAAAATACTTCTGCATTAGATTTTAATGCATTTTGGTGTATGACTCATAATCTGTACACAGTGTTAGGATGGTATTCTAAATACTATAAATACTGTGAATTTTCACCTCACTTTACTCGTGAGAGTTTGAACGCTAGAATATTTTATGCTGACTCATTTCATACGTGCGAATAACTCACGTGAAATCGTTGAATCAATAAATGAACTTCCGCCGTTACATCCCCAGTGACGTCCCCGGAGGATCTCAAAGTTGGTTGGCTATTGCAGCACAAATCTACATTGAGATTTTTCAACTCTTGCGAATAAGCATATGACAGAAAATCGTGCTACTCACTTCATTCACACCGCTTGATTTGTGTGGTTTGCGTCATTTGCATCGAGTCCATCGCACCGCCAAGTGGGAATTCACATCTACTTGTGTTTTATTCGACCAGTGTGAGCACAATATAACGGAATACGGTTACTCATATTTTGTATTCTAAAGTCGTAATGTAGTTACTTGTATTTTGTTACTCCCTAACCATGTCAGTACAAGTCAACGTATTCAGCTCATGAGTGAATAATACAGTGGGACTTAATGGGCCTCCATATGTTTTACTGCATTACTTAACTCATAATAACCCTGCTGATCTTCATTAGAAGACACTCTATTTTAAACTAGACAAGTCAGTGAATCATACCAGCCCATAGCCTGTTAGCGTACTATTTGCTTGTACACATTAGTAATTGGCATGATCATTAATGAATTAAAAAGTTTGCTAAGACTTAAATTTATCTGTGGACTTAGTTAGAAACTCACCCAGTTAGGCCACATATACTGCGCACCAATGCAAAGCTGTTACAGGTGTTGAAATTAGTAAGTGATCAAAAAAGCACACAGACATGATCCAGCTCAGAATTGTATCGAAAAAGACAATATGGTATGGAAGAGGGTTCCTCCAACAGTATGCAGCTCAAGTCAGGGCTTCTCAATTTGATGACAGCAAACTTCCAAGAGAAAAAAATGGGCTGCAAATCAATCAGTGTGCGCCTGTCTCTTGGTTTCGTGGAACATTATGGTGACTGAGGTGTGACGGTACCTTGAGCAGCAAGTCAGCAGCAGAACAGTGGCTGCAGTTCTCCCTTTAATAACAATGCAGCCCAATGTACAACGTGTGCACCAATATGTGTACATTGGAAGAAAATAAGTATTTGGTGTTTTTTCCCTAACCCTAACCTTGACCACAAGCTTTCCTTAGGTAACCAAGAAGTTACCTAACCTTAACTAGTCCTGAGCCATAGATGCTGGAGATCACTAGCTGCTCATATGACTCATCATAGTGATTGTTTTGAAAGGGAGAAACGTAAGTCCATTGTTATCCAAGTTCATTGACATTTACATAAACAGTAATAAATGACGGCCCATAATTCCTGTGTATTGTATTGGGTTATGTAGTTATATGTTGACCTAACTATTAAACAGACAAGCTTTCACAGTGTACTGGTTTCAATCAAATGGAATTTTCTACCTCCTTACAGAACATTCTGAGCATCGTGCACATGCTTCATATCTGAAGTTCAGCGATGATTTGTTTGCCCCACCCAATGAAAACCTGCTTCACCTATGATTGCAGTCCTCACCTTTCTCTCACAGAGCAGAGGAGATAGAGAGGTGAGCTCAACCAGTTGTGCATCTTTCTATGGCTTATTATACTGTCTCTTTTTATTGTTTAAGCAAGGGTAAAAGTGTTTATTCTGAGAAACTTGAATGAAAGATAATTTTAACTGTATACATCTCATCACTGGATGTACTTGGCTTCACAAGGTTTCAGTGGCACAGTCAGGTTTGTTTTTAAAATTAATCAAAAAACATATTTAATATTACTTATAATTTCAGTGATGTGTGAGCTTAATTATGCATGTAAAAGTTTTTTTTAAAAATAGAAACCAAAGACAGATCATGGTAATTCCTACACTTTGAAAATCTAACTACAATGCAAATATTAATGATTTTTCAGATATTATTGTTTGGATAGAATATGTTATGTGAGATGTAACGCTAAGCGCTGCAATTGAAAATGAAGTACAGAGATGCATACTTTTTTTGCATGCTAGAGTTTTGTTCTCACTGAAACTTACAGGTAAATTGGTTGTATTGGTTTACATTTATTTTCTTTCACAACCGACATGCAGGATGGCAAGATATGCACATACTTCTCACTATGATTATTTCCCTTTTCTCATTTATTTGTTATCTTCGATAATGCCAGTTACATAGTTGAAGATCGCTTAAAGTTAAGAAATGAAAAGGTGAGCAGAGAACCGTTTTCATGATGGGTGGCCCTGGAACTTCAGTGCAAGTTCTGCTACTCTCAGTAGCCAGTGTTGGTAAGTGTTTCCCCATCTTTTTTTGAATTTTATTTACCAATATTTGAAAGGTGATTACGAACTCTTCTGCCAATAAACATTAAATTAAATTTCAAACATGTATTTTTTGTCTTTCATTCTTCCAGTATGTATATCAGCACTGGTCTCTGCAAACGTAAGTCTATTTGCTTTTCTTGTAGCACTAAATTTAATACTCTGTGTATTAGTTTTATATGTTCCATCTGTACAAAATACCGAATCAGCGTGCTTTAATTTTGTATTTCAGTCAAATCCGACATCAGGTAAGGAGAACCTTTCTTTACTTAATTCTTTCTTAACTTAATTAATAATTAACTAATAACTGTGAGATTAAGTTTGTACTCAAAGTGTAACCATACTATTTATTCTATATAATCATTTTATATTGATATTTGTAGGACCAGGTTCTGTGAAATCTGAAAACAGGTCAGTATGCAGTTTCCCATAACACTGTTAAATGTTTAACCTAACACATTCACACACAAGCGTTGACCAGGAATATCATTTTTTTTCCAAATTTATATTAATGTTAAATGTGATGTTCATTTTTGTTTCACCACTGTATTTGTTCAAAAAGCAATGCCTCCAATCCAAGTGATGGTTTCCAGGAAACATGCCATGCAATAAATCTGCGAGATGCTGGTCAGAGAGTGAGTCTTTTAGAATTCACATTCACTGTAAATTCAAAATGCTCCATAAACCCAATAGTGTGTTCAATTTTTAAACGTCACCACCAAGCAGTGGTGATAAATGGCACCCCCTTTTGTTCACATGCTAACATTAACTCACACCTGACACCTGCCAGTGTTGCTGTGTATTACAAACACATCTGTGTTTCCTCTAGATATGTGCTGCAGTGGACATGCTGGCAGAGGAGCTGTCCTGTGAAAGGGGTGAAAATGCAAGCTTACCAGAGGACAAATCCAGGGAGGTGGAACAAAGCCTCGGACAGATTGTGAAGTCAACTTTTAAAGTCCTCTTTCAACTGGTATACAATTGCTTTCGATTTTTTTTTTAATTTGTGGAACATGTATGTTTTTTTTTTTATGTTTTTGGACTTCAAATTACTATAATCACTAACAGATTAAACTCTAGGTGATGAACAGGTCCATTCAAAAACATTCACCTTATTCCAATAGGGTTGCAAATATATGCTAGATAGTATATCATATTCGTCAAAATGGTAAACAAAAAATGTCTTTATTACAAGACATCTAAAACAGGGGCATACTCTAATGAGTGTGGAACTATGACATAGTTATAGTGGCATCATATTTCACTTGTTTGCACTTAAACAAGACCCAACTTGCAAACACATAATTTTAACGTATACTCATGTTTATTAGGGCCCGACCGATGTGGATTTTTTGGGGCCGATGCCAATTCCGATATTATGGAATAAAAAAAATCTGATAACCGATATATCGGCCGTTTAAATTTTTACGTTTTTCAATTTAAAAAACCCCGAAATACCTGCTTTTGATGGCCTAAATAGTTCAAACACTTGTTACAAAGATATAAATTCAAGGAAGAACATTTTACTATTTTCAAATACTTTTATTATCAGAAATTGTGTGGAACAAGCAGCATATGAACAATTTGAACACAAAATAAATCAAAAATATGATATGCAAAAAGGCAGTACACCTCTGGGAAATAAAATAATCATGCAAAGTCTATATGAATTAAGACATTCACATGTATGTTCACAGTACCAGAGTTCTTCTTATTATTGCCAATTTAACAGAGGTAGGTTATAGTGCAAAAAGTAGCACAAGAACATCATTTCTAAGTAAAACACCTTATTCCCTGCAATTCTATTAGTGATGAAAATATAAGTGTTAACATCGGCGTCAATCGGCCAACTTTTGGTTTTTGGTAGCATAAAAAAATGTTAATAACATTTGGTTCGGGGCGTTGGTGGCTTAGTGGATAGAGTCCAGCCTGTGGCCCTTTGCTGCATGTCATTCCCTCTCTCTCCCCCCTTCACGCTTAGCTGTCCTGTTAATTAAAGGCAAAAATGCCCCAAAAAATATCCTTAAAAAAAAAACAAAAAACAAACTTTGGTTGGATTTTGTGTTATAACACTACTACACAAAATGATACATCAGTCAGTCAGTTTGTGATGGCATGTTCTTCTACAATGTTTGAATGTTTAGTTGTGGGGCTACACTATTATTTAACACCTATTTAGTTGAGAATTGACAAGTTTGAGCTTTTCACAATTTTAATTACCATTCAAAAGATGGTGATATGACAAATATGGCTCCAATCAATAGTTGATTGCAACTTTGTTTCATAACAGGGTGCCAATGAGTCTGGATTCAATGTTCTGGATACGTTTGGAGTCCTGGACAGTCTAAATCTGGGTAACCANTGATTGCAACTTTGTTTCATAACAGGGTGCCAATGAGTCTGGATTCAATGTTCTGGATACGTTTGGAGTCCTGGACAGTCTAAATCTGGGTAACCACAGTGACATAAGATTCATCAGACGGTGGTTCTCAGTAAAAATGGCACCTCTTCTGCCCAATGTTGAAGAAAACTTCCTGACCCAGCTGAGCAGTCAAAACTTAAGCTGCACTTCTTTCCAAGAATTGTAAGTGAATGCAATTCCATTTTATTGATGCATGCAGATGGATGCTGAAGTCAAATTGTTATAAATGGTTAGTAAATGAATTAAATTGTTGTTAATGTAGCTAAAATAATGATTAATTATAGAACTATGTAAATATTAAAGTATGCTGTAAAAAAAGATCAACATGCTGCTGGGAGGCTGCTGTCCTTTGTTGTTTTCATGGTTTTGTTTGTTGTTGTTCTATGAGTTATGATCTACATTTATGATGTCATAAGAGAAAGAATAATGAAAATGTATTTTCAAGGATTGAGGCTATGAGTGATGAACTGGAGGAATCTCCCAAGGTGGATGGAGAACTAATCTATACACACTTCATTCAAGCTTACCTATCAAGAAAGGACTTACCAGGTAAAAGGACACGAATATGCGCTAAATGTGTCAGAGAAAAATGAATCAAAGGTGTATATGAGGGACAAACTAAGAAGATCATAAAAACACTAAAAATTCTTTGCAAATCATAAATTAACAGTAGGGATTGCTTGCACATTGGTAACTCCTAATCAAATACATTCAATATGGGATGAGCATATACCACTCACAATTCACCTTGTTGGCATAAAAGAATACCAACTTCCTTTTTTTGAACTCTTGAATTTTTCAAAATAATTTACAGATCCTGGATGCACACAAAATGTGAATGGAAGTGCAGAATGGCTGAAAAGAAATATTGGAAACTTTTCAGTCTTTGCGAGTCATGAGGATCTTTACAACATTTACACTAATTCCTCTGTAGTAAGTAATATATTATTTTATGGAGTCACAATATAAAAACAATACATAGAAATGCCACAGATGTTTGTACTTTATCAACACTGGTCTCTGCAATATAAAGTTTATTTGCTCTGTTTGTAGCACTAAATGTAATTCTCAGTTTTTTGTTTCTTCCGTAACAAAATTGTACAAAATACTGAATCAGTGTGCTTTTATTTTGTATTTCAGTCAAATATGACATCAGGTAAGGAGAAACATTTCTTTAAGAATGTTTTTATTTTGAAATTAAGTTTCTACTCAGAGTGTCACCACACTGTTCATTCTATATAATCATTTTATATTGATATTTGTAGGACCAGGTTCCGTGAAATCTGAAAACAGGTCAGTATGCAGTTTCCCATAACACTGTTAAATGTTTAACCTAACACATTCACACACAAGCGTTGACCAGGAATATCATTTTTTTTCCAAATTTATATTAATGTTAAATGTGATGTTCATTTTTGTTTCACCACTGTATTTGTTCAAAAAGCAATGCCTCCAATCCAAGTGATGGTTTCCAGGAAACATGCCATGCAATAAATCTGCGAGATGCTGGTCAGAGAGTGAGTCTTTTAGAATTCACATTCACTGTAAATTCAAAATGCTCCATAAACCCAATAGTGTGTTCAATTTTTAAACGTCACCACCAAGCAGTGGTGATAAATGCCGCCCCCTTGTGTTCACATACTGACATTAACTCACACCTGTCGTCTTCCAGTGTTGCTGTGTATGACAAACACATCTGTGTTTCCTCTAGATATGTGCCGCAGTGGACATGCTGGCAGAGGAGCTGTCCTGTGAAAGGGGTGAAAATGCAAGCTTACCAGAGGACAAATCCAGGGAGTTGGAACAAAGCCTCGGACAGATTGTGAAGTCAACTTTTAAAGTCCTCTTTCAACTGGTAGGCTATATAAGTTGCCTCATATTTTCTAAGCTTGTGCATTTATTTATGTTGATGTAATCAATGACCGATAAAGCTTGAGCTGCTCAACAAGCACATTCAAAAAACAGTTACCTCATATCTTTGAAACGAAATATAAAAAATGCTGGATTTGATGCTAATTTGCATAATTTGAAACAGTTATTACACCAAATTTGGTATACAGACTTGTGGGACTGAGTTACATATTTGGACTATAACTGAGCAAGATCAGTGAATACCCTTGGCCACCATTAATCAAAAAAGGCGCAAGCCTGAAACCCATTTGCTGCTGCTTGCAGCTTAAGTTTTGGGCAATTCCTCCTGTTGAAAAAGACCCTGAACCCGAAATTCCCTCCTGCTGCTATATTTCATAATATGAAAAATGAGACCTTCACATGTTTACAGTCAAGACTTATGTATATATCAAAATGGGAGTCTTTAACAACATTAGAAAAAATGAATGACTTTGGTAGGATTTTGTGCTACGACCCGTTACCACTCTAAATGATTTATCAATTATCAGTTTGAAAGTGTGGTAGCAGGTTCTACTCTAATGTTTGGAGGTGCGGTTACACAACTGCCTATTCAGTTTTACTAATTTTGAGTTCCCCATAGTTTTTTGAATAACATTCAAAAGATGTTGATATGACAAATATGGCACCAATCAATAACTGATTGCAACTTTGTTTCATAACAGGGTGCCAATGAGTCTGGATTCAATGTTCTGGATACGTTTGGAGTCCTGGACAGTCTAAATCTGGGTAACCACAGTGACCTAAGATTCATCAGACGGTGGTTCTCAGTAAAAATGGCTCCTCTTCTGCCCTATGTTGAGGAAAACTTCCTGACCCAGCTGAGCAGTCAAAACTTTAGCTGCACTTCTTTCCAAGAATTGTAAGTGAATGCAATTCCATTTTATTGATGCATGCAGATGGATGCTGAAGTCAAATTGTTATAAATGGTTAGTAAATGAATTAAATTGTTGTTAATGTAGCTAAAATAATGATTAATTATAGAACTATGTAAATATTAAAGTATGCTGTAAAAAAAGATCAACATGCTGCTGGGAGGCTGCTGTCCTTTGTTGTTTTCATGGTTTTGTTTGTTGTTGTTCTATGAGTTATGATCTACATTTTTGATGTCATAAGAGAAAGAATAATGAAAATGTATTTTCAAGGATTGAGGCTATGA